AAAAAGACAAGTTTGAAATGACTACTGATTATTCACTGAATATATCAAAAATAGAAAACCAATATTGCCAAGAAATTACTTCATAGTATGTCACTTCAGAGAGGTTTGTCTTCTGGGATCGGAGGGATAAAAGCACATGCTTTGGAGAGGTACTGATATTTTTSAAAAGGACAAAATATATGGATAATATTCAGCAACTTCACAAGAAAAATGGACATTGTAATCTGATTTCCTCCTTCATGATCAACGTTACCAATTCTAGTATTCCTTTTACATTTCAATTACACTCTCTAATATTCATATTATTATTTTGTTACGGAGAAGTCTTTAAATAAATAAACAAAAGATGTCTCATTTAACATTTACAATAAATAGAATATAGAAACTCTAAAAAACCTGCCAAATTACTTCTTAGGTATCAGTAGACAGCTGATAAATGCCCATGACTTTTGTATAAATATCACTCATTGTAAGAAGCTCTTTTTTATGTACATTAAACCATTCAAAAAGATATAATGCGTGGACGCGAATAAAAACATTACATTGCACATGCAGATAGATATCTACCTCTAGCACCTGTTCTTGGTCACACCTTATCACTTAAGCCATTGCGTTTAATACAGTTACATTCACTGTCTCAATTTAAACACATCATCTTTTTAAAGATATCGCCCTTTATTATCAAAAAGGACATTAAAAAYATAAGCATGGAAAAAACAAAGTGCCAAAAAACAGGTACATGGCAAATGGGTTAATGCTTTTTTGTCATGTTTGAATTGTGAATGAARCATTTGTTAGCAATTTTGTTTTTGACAAGTGGATAATAAATTTAAGATTGGACAATTTTAGAAGATTTAACCCCAGGAGTTATTTTTCTCTGTTAAAAACGTTTTCTTCAATTAAGTAATGCACATATTATATTTTAAAAAAATTCATTTTGCCCGACGTTGTTTTTAAAAGCTTGAGTAATACATACACAACACTTACAAAAATAAAAACATCAATGAATAATGGAATATTATGATACGAAAAAAAAAATCAATATTTGATGATTATTTAAGAAATTTCTGAAAAATTCGTTTTTTTAGCGAAAAACTTCGTTCAATTGTTCTTATTCGAAAATTAATTCAACGATTAGAATTTAAATCATGTTGAAAACAAAAGTAAATAAGTACACATCCCTTCAGTAAAATCGTACACCWCTCTGACCAAAAGAATTATTATCGCCTTTTCAAAATGAACCGAAACATTTCACGATCTTTTGAGCTGAAAACTGCTTTCAAACGAAAAGGTTCCGCCAACATTTTTAGCTTCTTTGTGCGATGTTTCTCTTATGTCACGCTGTGCAAAAAGCTGTCAGGATTCCATATAAATATGTGGGCGAATTTTTAAGACGTATTTACAACCTATGGCCGACTGTGTTTTTACCACTGACAATCTACATTTCCCGTAGACTCGGCTCGGCTCTGATGACCTGTAAAAAATAAACGAACTTTGCCCCCACAAGAATCAGCTCATACCCATCCCTGATAATACGAAGACGAAGAAGCTATACAGCCATAACAAAGCGACTTACCGAGCAATCCCTTTCCATTGATCACCAGATAAAAGGCAAGCAGCCATAGAATATTCATGCAAAGAAAAGAAATACATCTTTGTTAGTTTGTGGCATTAGGTGTCGAATCCTTCAAAAAGTTAGAACAAACGAGAACGTTTGAGCATAAAGTGTTTTATACCGGAGCAACGATCAGCCACAGAGCTATTGCTTTGTCACTGAACCATCGATACCACTTTGGCTTGATCAACATTAACGGCAGCGACGGTCCAAGAATGAAAATAATTCCGAGAAAAGAGCTCAAATATAATATTAATAAGAAGAGCATCCCTCCAAGCGGGTTTCTAAGCATTTCTGAGCAATAAACCAGTAAGGTTGACAACTGCTATGTGTACTTTTCGGTTGAAATAAACGATGTGAACCGAATCACGACAGTTTCTGCTTCTTCTAAAGCCAAGAAATGCTTCAACACAACCATGTACACGGTACAATTCTAGACAATTGAATCAATAATTGTTCTTGCAAAATACTAGAATTGCAATAGATCCACGTTTCTGCTTCGCGCGTATCGATCATTACGTCATGAGATATTTGACCACGTGAATGTGACGTCAAAGTATCTTTTCATATTTCTCCCTCTTTTTCCAGGTTCGTTCTGAGAGTTGCTGCCAGTGATATGAAGAATAAAAACGGTATATGAAGGGAATCAAAACAGATGTTTTTCGACTTTAATGAATCATATTTTGATGATACCTTGCTTTGGGCGGTGAGATGATTTGATATTTCTTTTTAACAATAAAGAAACGAAGACATTACTAATGAGAGGAAGATTTAGTCGCGAACAAGCAAACAATCGAACCACTCGTCAAGCTTTGTCAAGCATAAATGACATTTTAATTTTTCGCGGTTTTTAGTGCTCAGGCCCTTTCTTAACTCAAATTTTGAAAAAGTCTGGAACTAGTTGAATCATCCAAGATGGCGGCTCCATTGCTTACTCGCGTGTCTTGTTCATCTATGATAAAAACGCTAACTTCTGGTTTAAACCTCACTACTGTTCGCTTAGGAACGCATAGAAAGCTTCCAACTAAAAAGGTTGTAAACCCTTTTGTTCAGAGGAGAACAGATCTAATCAAAAGAATCGTTGTGGCTCTTGTTCAACATGAACGAATCCAAACAACTCTTCAAAAGGCACATCAAGTACAGAAATATGGGGATCTTGTGAGTAAATGATGTTCAGTTGAAGCATTTTTTGACATTTTTCTTACTTCAGAATTAAAATCAACTATGTTTCCTTTTAAAAAAATCATCTTATCTTTAAAAAGCATCTTATTTTTCTGCAGAAATAACTTAAGTTTATAGAGAGCTAGTTTGTTTCATAAATTATTGTACCAATATATATATACATATATGTTATTTGCCGGCTGGGAGGTCCGTATAGGAAAACACTGCCCGAGGTCTTGACAATAAAAGACCATACATAAAAGACCGAGGGCAGTGTTTTCCTATGTGAACCGACCTATAGCCGGTAAATAACATTTTTATTTTTTTTTTTATTTGTATTTTATGCAACTTTGCTCGAAGCTTAGCTGCAGGATACCATGGACTGGGTAGATCATGAAAAACCGGACCACGCGCTAGCCAATCACAGCGTGCAAATGACTAGGATACCAGACCGAAAAAAAATAACTAAATATATTTCCAGCTTATAACACTATCACAAAGAAGATCCCCACCACCAGACCTGGACATGATTGAAAATGGATTTATTCTGAATGAAAAAGAAGCATTCGAGAAAATGATCACCAGGCGAATTGTTAACAGACGAAGTAAAAAAGTTCTTTTACAGYCCAAACAGCTCACAGAGGAAGAATTTATTGTTAGATGTCGCCAAGAAGCTTCAAATATGCTTATGGGGGTAATTATAATTATGATTCTATTGAGTTTTACATAGTGTCTTTCTATTTTAATGTATAGTGATGTTTATATTAGATACTTTATTGGGACAATGTCTGTATTATAGCATTTAATTGTCTTTGTTATACAGCTGTCTATAGCATATAAGAGTCTACAGCAATAGTGGGACCATTATTGCACACAGTAATCATTGACATTATTGAATTTCTTTGATTTATTCTTCATTTATATTTATTACAGAATCAAGAAGCTCTTGATAAATTATATGGACCTTTAAAGGACAGATATAAGGACAGATATGGTGGATTTGTAAAAATAACTGCAATACCATGTCCACCTAAAGCATTGTACCCCAAAATGGCATATGTAGAACTAGTGGATAATGAACTTGAACCACTTCCAAGTTTTCCTGTCATTAGGCAAGGAAAGATAGTAGTGTATGGAGAAGATAGCAATAATGAAGTGGAAAATGCTGTGGCTCTAAAAAGTTAGATTGACT